GGGAAGCGACTTCACTGATTCTTATTATAACCCCAATAAGCTGGAATTCTTCATTCAGCTGAAAGAAGAAGATTACAAGCCCAGTCGAAAGAATTGATGCCATTATAACAGATTTATCTCCAAAGAAATCTTATTAAGTTTTCCTTGATGCTGCTTACATTCTGAACGGATTGATGATAACAGGTGAGCTTGATAACCAGCAAATCAGGGTGATTGTAAAAAAATGATAATCAGAAAGATTCGGATAAATGTTCAATGCCGATATCAGAAAAAATGCCTAATTTCCTTAATTTGTCAAAAACGGTATATAATCATTGATAAGTTTGCCAGTTGCTGTATCGCTTATCCAAAGATGAAATTTGACACAGACTAATTCTGATTATATACGAGTTTCGAAATGTCTCGAAGGAAAGAATAACATCTAAAAAATTTTCTTTCAAACATCTGTTGTGGCACTTAGAGCAAACTATATTTTGTCCTGCTTAAGCGGACTTAAGATTCAGAGAAGTTTGGATCCTGTTCATCTGTACGGCATAATAGACGAAGAGTTGACGGCAGGCTATATTGAAATATGCTGTTTTTTACCATCTTAAATTAATAATACGAAACTGAAAATTATATCTGGTAAGTTCGTCGTAACTGACGAGCACAGCATGCTGGAAAATAGAGTAATTTTGTGATCTCGTTCAAGCAGCTGACTTTCGACAATCTTCGAACTTCATGATTACTGCCTGATCTCAATTCCACGGTTGACTTTCGCCACGTATTTCTATATTTGTCTTTTAGCTCATCTTCCTATGTGAATTGATGTCTTCTGATTTGCCTTACGGCACATACCGTACTAATTCATCAGTTGAAGTCCATCTGCTAGTCATGCAATGTTAATTGTCACTTTTATTACTTTACGACTGGATAGTCATCTTCATTACTCTTTGTCTTCGTTTTTTTATGCTGCAGCCTATCCGTGATGATGATCAATCATCCTTATTTGCTTAGCCCTTTGCTGCATTCTTGACAGTTCTTCGTTCATTTTCAGGCTACTGTACATAGTTGCTGGTAACTCTGCGCTTTCATACAGAACGATTCTAGGTAGCTACAGTGCTTGATCAGGTTTTATCTTCTAGGTATGCTAAAAGGCACGCGGCGCTTCTGTTGTCGTATCTTGGATGGGACTATGATGGATTCGCGGTTCAGCCATCTACCACTAACACAGTCGAGGCTGCCCTATTTGATGCTTTGCTGAAAACAAAGCTTATAGAGAACCGACAGACGGCAGCATATCATCGCTGTGGAAGGACGGATGTCGGCGTCAGTGCATTTGGCCAGGTGATTACTGTAAATCTTGATTTTATCCTGTTACAGTGCTTTGCGTTAATTCAGCCTCATGTCAATGTGGTTAGGGTTGAGAAATGACCAGACTTGGAGATTACAGGGCTCGTATAACCACTTCGTCATTTCATTGTTTTGTCTCCTTCTAATCAAACCATACGGCGACGATACTTAACTTAACGTTGGTTATGGTGCTGTTCCTGTTGCTAAGGTTAAAATTGCAGGCTGTTTAACATTTATTATATTCGGTCTTCTGAATCTTCGGCTTTTTGATATTAATTGTTTACTTTATTCACAAATGACACAATCCTTATTTGCAGCAAATCTCACTTGATTATGTGACGTGAAGTGATATTCACAAATCCTTAGTTTTCCCTAGTTCTTGTTGCAGTTACCAACTAACCAGTGAGTGAGAAGGGATCCTCCACCACCTAACTAGCCAGTGAGAAGGGATCCCTTCCCTGTTTATGGTAAAACCGTGCTATCTTTGAGCCACTTCCAATATGTCTGTAATGCTAGTTCACGTCAAAGCAGTCGTTCAATGTTTGGTCACATCTACTCGTTTTCAAAACGTTTCTTAATCATTGCTGTCAGAGGCTATCAGTCACCATAGTGCGTTTTCTTCACATCAGCCGTTTGTATTTCATACTCTATAACTGCTTGACTGAAGCATTGCTGAGATGGATCGTGATGGTGTCCGTTATTCTATTTCCATTGCAGGTTTTTGGGGAGTATTGTGAAAGTGTTAAAACGAGCGCAGACTTTTCGTCTGGGACTTCATTACTGGAACTGTAGTTTGAGATGATCGCCTGAGCTATTTAAAGTTTGGATGTGGTATCATT